TACAATATTATTTCTCTTCTGGAGACCTTCACTTCCCTTCCATAGCAACTACTTTATAGAATTCTCACTTTATTAGTCCAACCATCTATACTCTTTATCCCATATCTGGGCTATAAAAATCCCTACAGGAGAAGCTATACAACTGTTTGGTGAAACCAATCAGCAGAGCTACATATTCCTGGAATTCTTGATGCAAATGATTTTTTACAAGATTCAATCAGGTTTATTTTATTACCTTTAGCAGCCCTTATACTTCTGTTTTCTCAAAGACTTACCACTTTGTTCTTTATTCTTAGTAATGACTAAGACTCTTCCTTCCTTTTGGTGGGAAAACCTTTATTTCCTGCCCCTGATCTAGAAATTTAACAGAAACTGTCATTATCTTTTTCTGTTTTTCCTCCCATTTAAGTGGTAAAAGTATCCCTTTTCTTATGCAGTCCCAGACTCTAACTCCTCAGGACTTTGCTTTAGCCACCTTTCTCCTTTCCCTTCTCTACTACCTCTTTATTTTAAGTAGATAAAATAAATTTCTCTTGATGAAAAACAAAAGAAAACCTCACTTCTGACAAGGAAGTGCAAATCTTTGTTAAGTTATTACCATGTGCCAGCAGCAGATTGGGCTAAGATCTTTAAGGGTGTTATCTTGATTCTTTTATAATAACTTTATTTGGTTTGGTACCATTGTTACCAAATCATACAGAAGACACTGAGGCTTGTTGAGGTGAATGAGGTCAGTCAGGATTACTTTGATGGTTAAGTATGGCAGCAGGATTTGAATCTAAGCTGCCTGAGTCCAGAGCAGCTATCTATAACAAGACTATGTATATGTATATATGTATATATATGTATATGCATATATATGTGTATATATCTACACTAATAAAAGAGAAAGATGCAAATTGACTGTACCTTTGTGACGCCCACCAGCCAATCAGGAGTGAGTATGCAAATTAACCAAACAAAGATGACATGTTACTTTGCATACACAGGTGCCGAGTGGCTGCTCCGGGCCTCTGGGCAGTGTGGGAAGGTGGAAAGATGGCTCTGGGCCTGAACGGAGGTAGAAAGGCGGCTCTGGGCTGGAGCGAAGGTGGTGCCGGCAGCCAGGGGAAGGAAGGCCCATTCTTGCACGAATCTTTGTGCACCGGGCCTCTAGTGTTTGTGTGTGTGTGTGTGTGTGTGTGTGTGTGTATCAAATAGTTGACGTAAAACGTATAACATTATGTTAGTTTCGGGTACACAGCATAATGATTCAACATTTATTTACCTTACAGTGATTACCACAGTAATTCTAGAAACCATCTGTTGCTCTATATTATTAAGATATTATTGACTCTATTCTATACTATATATTACATCCCCTTGTCTTATTTCATAACTAGAAGTTTATACTTCTTAATCCCCTTCCTCTTTTTTTCCTAATTCCCCACCCCACTCCCCTTTGCTATCAGTTTGTTCTCAGTATATATGAGTTTGTATTTTGTTTATTTATTTCATTTATTTCATTTTTTAGTAATTGTCTTACTCTTTCCGACTTATTTTACTTAACAAAATACTTTCTAGGTTTATCCATGTTGTCTCATATGGCAAGATTTCATTTTTTTATGGCTGAGTAATATTCCACTGTATGTATGTATCATATCTTCTTTATCCATTCATCTATTGGATGCTTCCATATCTTGGCTCTTGAAACAATGCTGTGATGATAGGGGTTCATGTATCTTTTACAATTACTTTTTGTTTTCTTCAGATAAATACCCGAAGTATTTATCTGAATCACTGGGTCATTCAGTAGTTCTATTTTTAAATTTTTGAGAAATCTCTAGACTGGTTTTCATAGTGGCTGTACTAATTTGCAATCCTACCAACAGTGCACAGGGTTTCCCTTTTCCCCCCATTTTCTCCATCACTTGTTATTTGTTGTCTTTAATAATAGTCATTCTGACAGATGTGAGGTCACATCTCATATGGTTTTGATTCACACTACCTATTAATATATCAAAAGCTCTCAAAAGTTTAGTAATAAAGAAACTGTTTAACTTTCTAAACTGAGTTTTCCAGGTTTATTTGATCATGGAATTCTTCCTGTGGAATATACTGTAGACTACATATTAGGAAACATTGATCTATTATATATCTTCTTTATATGCATTTCATAAATCGCTGTAATATCACTGCAGCCCTCCTACTCCTAGTCAATTTCTCTTAAAACTATTCTTGCCAGGGATGCTGGTGACTTTTTGTCATCAAATTCTATATATATATTTAAATACATTTTTACTGATTTGGGAGAGGGAGAGAGAGATAGAAACATCAATGATGAGAGAGAATCATTGATTGGCTGCCTCCTGCACGGCCCCCACTGGGGATCAAGCCCACAACCCAGGCATGCGCCCTTGACCGGAATTGGACCCGGGACCCTTCAGTCTGAAAGCCGACACTCTATCCACTGAGCTAAACTGGCCAGGGCCTCAATAGATATTTTTAAAGTCTTTCTAAAACGTGACTTTTATGGATTTTCAACTTACCATCCATCTTTTGATATTTTAGTCTTTCTTGACTTTGGTAAAATTATTCTCTTGTTTTTCCTCCTATGTTTCCCTCTTCTTCTTTAGTCTCCTTTATGGGGTCTTGACTCTACATGCTCTGCCCTCCACTCTTTGTCTAGGATATAGCACTGTAGCACTGACACTGTATTTGCTGATGACTCCTGTGCCTGTATCTATAACACACTCTTATATTTTGAGCTTCAAACATCTGTTTTCACTGGTATTTGATAGACTTCCCATTTGGCTTATTTCATAAGCTCATCTAGCTCAGCCCACTTCACAGGCCCAACACTGTTAACACAGAGTCTCTGCTGGCCAGTGTGAAATTGAGTTTTGTAGCAGATGTAGCCCTCAGCAAGCAGAGCTCAAGCTAAATTTCAGTCACTACTTTTTCCCCTTCTTAGGACATAATCTGCATAACTGTATACCATACTCGACTGTAATTTTTGAATTTGTTTCACCTCTTCTCTCCCTACCTTACTGCTTTCATTCAGTCTCTGTGATCAAATAAGTCGGGAAAACTCAGTTTAAAATGTTAAACAGATTTCTTTATTACTAAGCTTTTAAGAGCTTTTGATATATTAATGTGTGGTGCGAATCCTAGAAAGGAGTTATAATATGCAGCATTTCTCAAAAACATTATCCTGAATTAAGATAATATCCTGGGGGAAAAAACAAATAATATCTTTATCTTTATTCTTTATATTTCCCTACCTTTAGTTTTTCCCCTTTTAGGTTGTCCTTCTAAAATGGAACTCTGGGCAACACACCCAATTAATGCCATTAATTGTTTCCTATTTCCTTCATATAAAATGTGAACCCCCTAGCATTGCACATAGGCTTTTCCTGATCTGGCTCTTGTATACATTTTCATGCTGCACTAAGGTACTTCTTGTTAGCCCTGTCCTCTTAAACTTCTGGGCTTTAGCTCATGCTCTTCATAAAGTAGTATCTTCCCATTACCCATATCTGATTGGCTTGTTCCTATTGGTCTTCAGGACTTCTGTCAAGTGTTACCTTTTCCAGGAATCCTTCCTAATCCCCTCAGTCCTAGTTAAATGTTCTTCCTTTGTTCCCTCATGCATGGTTTTGTCATGTGTAGCAGTTGTGTTTGTGCTGTATAAAATTTATCTAGTCTACTAGTTAGAATGAGAGCTCCTGGAAGCAGAGATGATATTTTCAGTTTCTTTTCTTCAAGGCTCTAGTGCAACAATTTTAAATTAGACTCCTTTAGGTCTTTTCTGAAAATATTCTGGCTCTTTATCCTACTTAGTACCCTTCCCTCTTCATCTATTGTTCCACATTTATCTTCTCCCCCGCAGATTGATTGATTTTTTCTAAATATATTTTTATTGATTTCAGAGAGGAAGCGAGAGGGAGAGAGAGATAGAAACATCAATGATGAGAGAGAATCACTGATCAGTTACCTCCTGCATGCCCCCACTGGGGATCGAGCCCACAATCCGGGCATGTAACTTGGCCGGAATTGAACCTGGGACCCTTCAGTCCGAAGGCCGATGCTCTATCCACTGAGCCAAACCAGCTAGGGCCACATTTATCTTTTTTATATTTATCATTCGCCCAAGATTTTGTTTGTTTAAAGAAAATGTTCTGTGTCTGAATGGAAGACATAAAGAGGCAAGGAATGGAAAAAGAGAGAGAGGGAGGGAGGGAAGAAGGAAAGAAAAAGAGAAGAAAGAATGGAAGGAGAGGAAGGAAAGGAGAAGGGGAAGGGGAGGGGGATGGGGAGGGAGGAGGGGTAGGGGAGGAAGGGGAGGGGAAGGGAAGGGAAGGGAAGAAGGGAAAAGAAAAAGAAAAGTAGGTTCAGTTCTAAATCTTACACAATGGCCAGAACAGTAGGCATTGGAGAAATATAATCAATTCAGACATCTGCTTAGACAGACTGATATTGAAATGACCAGCAGTACTAACCCACCATACCAGTTTGCTTCCCTTTCTTCCAACATACCACAGTTTTTATTTTTATTTTGAGTAACTTTTATCATACTGCTTGCTCTGCCTGAAGTTTCCTTTTCTTCCTCTGAAGAGGTGTCTTAATAAATTTTTTAAAAATTTACTTTATTTTACTTTATTTAACCTTTACAAACTCTTTTTTCCCTTTTTAAAATTCTTTATTGTTTAAAGTATTACATATGAATCCTTTTTCTCCCATTGACCTCTCCCCACTTGTTCCCACCCACTTCCCCAGAACATGCCCTCACCACCCCCCTACTGACTGTGTCCATGGGTTATGCTTATATGCATGCATACAAGTCCTTTGGTTAATTTATGGGATTGAATTTGACTTGATAAAATGATTTTTTTGTTGTTACAGATAATCTCTGGATCCTGAAAAGTCAACTTTTTGGTGTAATTCTCATATGAATTGCTTGTTTAACTACATCATTTGTAAAATTATTTTCAACCTGATGTAACGTTTTTCTTTTTCAGCTTGTGAAGCTTTGTATTGTGATGATTGACACTGGAAAAGCCTTTTGTGTTGCAAATAAACAGTTTATGAATGGGATTCGAGACCTGGCACAATATTCTAGTAATGATGCTGTAGTTGAGGTTAGTATTTTAAAATTAGTTAAAATGACAAATGCAATAAGACATTAATCAATTATGCATCCATTTGCTTTATGAAGAGTTATAATGGTCCTTAAAATTAGAAGTAGAAAAGCTGTCACCCATTGGTTCTGTCTTGTACAGTTCCGTTTTCTTGGATAGTTAGAAGTTAATGGTTGATTTGTATTGTGAATATAAGTTTACTTACTGCTTGGTGAGCTGAAGCATCTACAAGAAGGACTGAGCAGGAAGAGCAGGATTTTGCTTACTAGTAGCTGCTTATAGAGGAAAGCAGAACATTAACCTAAGAATAGTGTCAACTGTATGTATAGGGGCTGCATTGGAAAGTTTTGGTAGCTACCTATGCTAGGTTAGCCTAGACCTCTCACTATATTATGTGGTATTAATGACATTTCTTTCATGAAGAATAATAACAGGTGAAGAAATTGGTATAGTTTGGTGATTATTTGATCCATAGATGCCTTCATGAGCATAGTCTTGATACACTCAATTTTACTTTTAGATTTATATATGCCATTCCTATTTGTTAGCATAATACTATTGACAGGGCAGTACTAATTCTTTGACTGTTCTAGGGTTTTATGTTACTACACATAGACTTGACCTCTGCAGAGCATGCACATGAGATATTGAGATTTTCCTTAGAAATAAATGTTATTGTTAACAATGTAACTTGATCTTTCTGTCAGAAATGCTGAAGCAATGTTTTTTGTGGCCTGTTCTAGTGGATTTTAAATAACTCATTTTTTTCTTTTGGTTTCTTTCTCGTAGACAAGTTTGACCAAGTTTTCTGACAGCCTTCAAGAAATGATAAATTTTCATACAGTAAGTGTCAGTAAGTAGGTATTAATATGACCATGTTATTTCAGTATGTTGTTTTAGTGGCAGTATTTTATGAAATAATTTAAGTTGTAATTCAGTGACTTTGAATTTGTCAACAACTTTTTAGTTGGGTGTTAATCTAAAATGTGTGTGTGTGTGTGTGTGTGTGACAGAGAAAGAGAGAGAGGTAGAGAATACATTTTATTTCCTATTCTAAAGTACTGAACTTATATTAATGAGGTACACATCCGTAAGTTTTTTCTTTTAAGTTGTACCTTTGTAAATTTTTAAACAATTATTTCAAGAATGAAGAAGTAATTTAGTTATTTCTTATTTCTTTCAAGATACAAATATTACATCCCATTTGTTTGATTACTTGCCAGTATTAAAGACTGATGTAGTATTTGATATATGTGTGTGTTTAATATTTGGTGCCAAGCTGCAGTGGCTCAGTGGTTGAGTGTTGACCTATGAACCAGGAGACCACAGTTTGATTCCTCGTAGGGGCATATGCCCAGGTTGCAGGCTCAATTCCCAGTTGTGCAGGAGGCAGCTGATCAATGATTCTCTCTCATCATAGATGTTTCTATCTCTCTCTCTCTCTCCCTTCCTCTCTGAATCAATGAAAATATATATTTTTTTAAATTAAAAATAATATTTGAGGGCATTTTTTCCCCATGGACAGACAATAGTTCAGGGAATGCCTAGGGAGGGGAAGGTAGTGGGGTGAGAGAGGGTCAATGGGGGGAGGGGGAGGGACATCTGTAATACTTTAAACAATAAAGATAAATTTAAAAAAATTAAAAAATATTTGAGGGCATTTTTCCTTCAAGAATGAAGGATTATATATTACTTTTGGAATGTTAGAAAATTCCTTTTCAAATTTATAAAAGTTTGCTGAAAATATGGTAGCTTATAAGCTATGTACTTCTTAATTTTTAAAAAACATTAACATATGGTCATGTAATTATTTAATTCAATGCTTAAATTTATCAGAAGCTATAACAAGAATATCAACACTTATATTCCTTATAAAATCTGCTAATTTTTGGTTCTTATTTAAGAATCAAAGTTAATTAGAATTTCTTCTTATTTATTACTATTTTTGGTAACATATTAAGCCTGAAGTTATCTGATAATGTTTATTTTAATTGTAGTTCAAATTTTAGCTGTACCAAAATTATCATGCACAAGAACCTACTTCAGCTCCTGTTTTCAATTCTTTTGGGTATATATCTAGGTGTAGAATTGTAGGTCATATCATAATTCTGTGTTTATCTTTTTGAGCTATCAAACTGTTTTCCACAGAGGTTGTATCATTTTACATTCCCACCAGCAATGTATTCGTGTTCCAATTTTCTACATTCTTGTCAACACTTGTTATTTTCTATTTTTTTTTTTTTTGATTATAGCTATTCTAGTAGATGTGAAGTGGTATCTCTTTGTGGTTTTAATTTTCATTTCCCTAAAGACTAATGCAGTTGAGCAACTTTTCATGTGCTTATTAGCCATCTACACTAATAAAAGAGAAAAATGGTAATTGGCGTACGTCCGCTACCCTTCCCATTGGCTAATCAGCATATCCTTATGCAAATTAACTGTCAGCCAAGATGGCGGCCGGCAGCCAGGCAGCTGGAAGCGAACGTGAGGTTTGCTTGCTCCCGTGACTGCACACTCCAACGTTCCCTTGCCGGTCTCTGAGCTGGCAGTTTGAAACATTCTAACAAATATAGCCGGCTGGGATCTCAGAGCTGAAGTTCTACATTGTTTCGATTATAGAACCGAAACAAACCAGCAGCGGAAGCCTCAGAGCTAGAGCCAGAGCTAAAGCTGGCCCAGAAGAAAAAAAAAACAGAAAAAAAAGGAGCGGTTGGGAGCTTCAGTCAGCCTGAAAGCAGCCCTCAGCCCCTCATCCAGGCTGGCCAGGCACCCCAGTGGGGACCCCCACCCTGAAGGATGTGTGACCAGCTGCAAACAGCCATCATCCCCTCATCCAGGCTGGCCAGGCACCCCAGTGGAGACCCTCACCCTGATCCAGGACACCCTTCAGGGCAAACCAGCCGGCCCCCAGGCCTCTATCCTATATAGTAAAAGGGTAATATGCCTCCCAGCACCGGGATCAGTGGAGCCGTGAGGTCTCCTGGCACCAGATCAGCATGACAGGGTGCAGCGCCCAAACCCCCTGATCGCCCTGTACTCTGTGAGTGACAGGGGGGAGCTCCCCAACCCCCTGATGGGCCCTGCTCTGTGCGTGACGGGGGGGGGGGGCAGTGCCCCAACCCCCTGATTGGCCCTGCTCTGTGAGTGACAGGGGGCAGCGCCCCAACCCCCTGATTGGCCCTGCTCTGTGCATCATAGGGGGTGGTGCCGCAACCTCCCCATTGACCCTGCCTTGAGTGTGATAGGGGGTGGTGCCCCAACCCCCCAATCAGCCCTACCCTGAGTGTGACTGAGGGTGGCATCGCAACCTCCCAATCCACCCTGCTCTGTGCATGACAGGGGGCAGCGCCCCAACTCCCCAATCAGCCCTGCTCTGAGCCCGACCAGGGGCTGCACCTAGGGATTGGGCCTGCCCTCTGCCACCCAGGAGCAGGCCTAAGCCAGCAGGTCGTTATCTCCTGAGGGGTCCCAGACTGCGAGAGGGCACAGGCCGGGCTGAGGGACCCCCCTTCCCCCCCCCCCCCCAGTGCACAAATTTTTGTGCACCGGGCCTCTAGTCTATAATAATAAAAGTATAACATGCTAATTAGACCGGATGGCTGAACAGTGGAACGACCATCCGGACAACCTTCCAGGAGACATTCCGGACGAAGCTGGGGCTGCGAGGGCCACGCCCCTTGCACGAATTTCATGCATTGGGCCTCTAGTTTGTATATGTTCTTCCATCACTGTTGCCCATTGATGTCCTTTGCCCATTAAAATTTTTGAAAAACTGAGTTCTTTATATATATATTCTGGATGTTAACCCTTAGTCAGATATGTAAAATTTATGTATTATGACATGTAAAATTTTTCTCCCATCTGCAGGTTGTCATTTTACTCTCTTGATAATGCCCTTTGATGCCAAAAAGTTTTAATTTTAATGATGTTCAGTTAACTTTTTTTACTGTTGCTCCTGCTTTTGGGGTCATATCCAAGAATCCATTGCTAAATCCCAGATCATGATTTATTCCTTTGTTTTCTTCTAACAGTTTTATTGTTTTAGCTCTAATATTTTGCACCAATTTATTTTTAATGATTTCTTACTAGTTCTCTTTTTGCTTTCCAGTGAGCTTGGATGCCAGTGCATGGTATATTTGATTTCTCTTGAAATCAAGTGGTCTTTTGGATTCCAACTTCTTAAAAAATATACCAGTAGTGAGCATTATTTTTTTTGTTAAAAGTTGTTGATTTATATTAGCATAGTATGTTAAATGTTTTCTCCATAATTTATCTTTTGTAATAGTTCTGTTTCTGATATTTTCTTTAAATCAGTCATTCTTGTATTTTTGTTTTATATAAGAATACCATGCTCTTTTTTATAATTTTATATGTACAAAGTTATGGTTATGACAAACTTTTGGTAAATAAATTGTTTAAATGTATGTTGGAAACTTTGTTGTCAAGAAATTTTACTTGAAAATATTTTATAAATCACTTTCTTAGAGTAAATTAAATCTTCAAAAATCATGTTTGTTCGAAGCAAGGTACATAAGTAAAGTTTGCTTTAAGAGAATTGAGATTGGTCTTTTTAGTGCTAGTCATGTTAATGACTAGCTGATTTCTGAACTGATTACAATAATGTTTGTGTGTTTTTCTTTTCTAAAATTGAAAGCAATCAGTATTTCTTGAACATTGTTTTTAAAAGAACATAGGATTTAGCCCTAGCCAGTTTGGATCAGTGGATAGAGCATCGGCCTGTGAACTGAAGAGTCCCGGGTTCGATTCTGGTCAAGGGTACACGCGTAGGTTGTGGGCTCAATTCCCAGTGTGGGGCATGCAGGAGGCAGATCCTGTGAAGAGGCTCCTTGGTGAAAAATTGAGACCTGGAGCCAACTGCCACGTACATGAAACCTATCATGTACAAGAGGAGCACCGCTCGGCCAGAAGCCAGGCTCACGACTGGCAAGTGCAGCAGCAGTAATGGGAGCCTCTTCCACCTCCGCGGCAGCGCTAAGGACCCCTCGGGGGACTGTCAGCTTATGCCCTAAGCCGAGGAGTCCTGGACTACGAGAGGGTGCAGGCCGGGCTGAGGGACCTCTACCCTCCAGTACACAAATGTTATGCACTGGGTCTCTAGTAAAAATAAGTACCGCCTGGCTGGCGTGGCTCAGTGGTTGAGCATTGGCCTATGAACCAGGAGGGCAGAGTTCAGTTCCCAGTCAGGGCACATACCCAGATTGCAGGCTCAATCCTTATTGTGGGGCATACAGGAGTCAGCTGATCAATGATTCCCTGTCATCATTGATCTCTCTCTCTCTCTCTCTCTCTCTCTCTCTTTCTTCTTTCCTCTCTGAAATCAATTAAAAAATATTTTAAATAAATAGTTAAGTACCAAGAAGTAACAGCCAAAAAGATATCAAAATCCATTACATTCTAGTAGGAATACTTCATAGCAAATGACCATAATATTAAGGAAACAACCATACATACTTAGTTAAGTAGGGAAAATGTGAAAAATAAAACAAATTAATAGGAGTGAATTGTGAAAAATAAGAGCAAAGGAGAGATGAAATATTGGACAAAAGTCAAAAGAAGTGATGACATGGTAATGCCAGGGGAAAAGTTGTATTGTTTTATTATTGTTTTTTATCATTATTGATTACTTTGCATTTTTAAGATTAATATGTAAATGGATCTTTGTCTAATTTCTTTCAGTGTAATTATTTTGAGACTCAATTATGTGATTGTATTTATCAATAGTTTATTTTTTTATTGCTTGGTAGTACTGTATTTATGGATATATTATAATTTGTTTATCCACTCACCTGATGGATATATTAGTTACCTGTTGTTATTAACAG